GAAAGAAAGAAAGAAAGAAAGAAAGAAAGAAAGAAAGGAAGGAAGGAAGGAAGGAAGGAAGGAAGGAAGGAAAAAAGGAGGGAGGGGAGAGAGAGAAAGAAAGAAGGGAAGGAAGGAAGGAAGGAAAAGGAAGGGAGAAAGAAAGAAGGGAAGGAAGGAAGGAAGGAAAAGGAAGGAAGGAAAAGGAAGGAAGGAAGGAAAGCCCAGAAAAGCAAAAAAATTTTTAGTAAGCATCAAGAAAATAAATATTAGACCAGTGTTCTAAATAAGTGTGTGTGTATGTGTGTGTATTTGTGTGTGTGTGTGTGTGTGTTTATGTGTGTGTGTACATACTAGTATACCTACTACATGCAACAATTTAACCAGGTCTATTGTGAAATCTGTTGGATGTGTCTGTAAACATTCAAAAGTTGGCTAATTTAATCTTGACTGGGCTTTGTCATGCTCAGCTTGTTGTGCTGGGCCAGCCCATGGCATTCTTGGCTTATCTAACAATGTATACAACTTCCCCTCTCACAACAGTGACTCTATGGGCTGAAACCAAAACAGAAGAAAAGTATCAACAACAAAGTCTAAAAGTCATCTCACTTCTGGTCTGAAAATCAGAATTGAGAAACTAACAGTATATAGATTTAGAGACTGTATAGATTTGCAAAATAACGCTGGGGGAAGCGGTTGACTTTTGGGTAAATCCAGAGGGAACAGATTTTAGTTTTATCTGGTTTCCGGTGCAGAATTCAGTTCCGTTCTGCGCTGTATTTCTGCCCTATGTAGTCCATCGCTTTGGATTCTTCAGGACCTCTTTTCAAACAGGATTTTGTTGCACCAAATTATTTTTATATTTGTGTATCATTTGCTTGAAATTATGCCATTTGTGACCCTTTTCAAGCTACTTTTTTTTTTTAAAGCTTAAGGATTTCTCCAGAACTTCAGGTGGAAAATAATTTGAATCAATACAGTTAAGAGAAAAATCACAGGCTGAATTGATTTTATCTCTTTCCTCTTTCTCCATCAGAAAGAATTCCCAAGAAATCCACCAGCACATGTGACCTTCTTCTAAGGTCCAAGATCATGATTTAAGTTTCACTTGGGTGGAAACACCCTTAGCAAATGCTTTCTGTTCCAGAAAGGATCAAAGACATGAAGGAACATCTGAATCAAAAGACTTGTGATGACCCAGGGTGGGATACAAAACAAGCACAGTCACAGAAAACAGGTGAAGCCCCTTTTATTCCTTCACTTTGCTTCCAAGCTCCGAATATCTTTGACAGAAGCCAAAAAACTCCCTCACAAACAGTTACAAGAAGAAGGGAAAAAAGCAACACAAACCAGGCAAGATAAGGGCTGGAGGACATCCACAGATAACACACACTTGGAAGGATGCCAAACTCAGAGAGGAACCATAAACTAGAGATATTTCCACGCTTTGTTTCCAGCATTCGCCCATATGCAGGTTCATCCTCTTATTCAGTTGTCACAGCTGCAGCCCATGAAGAAGATCAAGGCCCTCTCCTCCCAAGTAGACCACATCTCTCCCTTATCCTCTCCTCCCTGCGTGCCCTAGGATGGAGAGGGGATGGGCCTGGGTCCACCTTTGACTGCCCAGCCAGCCTCTGCCCTTCCCCAGCCTCCTCCACAACCTCCAGAGCCACACTTCCACTCCCTGTTGGCTGTTCCTCCTCTCCCTCAGAGTCAGTCTCCACCAGGGGCACGACAAGACTGCCTCTTACCGAAGAAAACACCAAGCACTGTTCTGTTCTTCTGAGAAGGAAGACCTGAATCTCCTTGGGCCACCATGTTGCTAAGCCTGCGGGCATTGGGCACATGAGGTTCCTGCAGGGCCTTGAACACCCCATCTGCATAATTAGCAGGGAGTAGACGTGACATCCGTGAACCTATGGGGGAAGAAATCAGCATGTCAACATGAGGTGGGAATGGGGCAAAATATGGCAGAAAGAACACGAGAAGTTTCTCGATAATACTTTAGACAGAGAAGAAAACAAATTGATGGATCATTGGACCTTCTTCTCACTCAAGGCACAAATCACCAGGCTCAAATGATCTTACTTTAGCCAAGGAACCAGCTGTCTGGAGAAGATAATGCCCACTAAGATCAATAAGACTCAAGTTGAGAACTTCAGCCTTAAATAACCCAAGGATTCCTCTAGGTTGGACATTTAGAAGATCAGTTGCATCTTGCTCACCCGCTGAGTTGTGTTTATGATACATGAGGTTGTTGTACCAGCCGTCATAACGTTGAATTTCCCAGTGGATGTTTTCCTGGGCACCTGGAAATAAAGCAGGCAAGGAAGAACACATTTTGGAAAATAAGGTGATTGGGAACAAAGTTGAATTCCGTTGAAAATCAGGGCCAGTTCTTACCGTGGAATCAACATTGAAAATCTAACAATGATTCCTTCTGTTGAAAAACAAGATTTGGCTCCTGGATCATTACTTCAAGTGAATATCTTTCCAACTGCATTCAGTGGGGATGACCAAAATTCAGCCATAATGCCTCTTGAAAGAAGCAAGCCTATTTTTAACAAGGTTATATATCTCCCCCACTTGTCCATGCCATACTATTTGATTCTCCATCTAATTAAATAGAACTCAGGCCAAGACATACACAGACATCATCCCAAATGTTAAGAGATTTCTATTCAGATAAAGTTGGTCATTTGATCTCCAGTTTAAGTCTTCCAAAAAGGCAAATAAAATGTTTATGGGATGGAAGTAAGCATCCTCTTCCTTTAAAAATATAATAATTATTAAAAATCCTGGGTTTGTTAGCCTTCCCCTCTCCTTCCCTAGAAGGGAAGGCTCAAATCCTTAGGACTATTTAATAATCACATTTTTTAAAAAAAGATGAAGTGCGTGGAAAGAGAAACTAAAGCAAAGAATATATTAAAAGATGCAGGAAAAAAAACCTGGCAATTGAATGGTGGGAATATTAGGAATGTTGATTATAAACTTTGTCATGTAAGTACAAAATGAAACAATGGATTTTTCAGATTTTGTATGACATTTGGACCCTATATTTCAATATATATGTATGGAGGGTGGCAAGGAACTTATACAGTTTTCAATCTGGACTGGTTAATTTTCCTCAGTGACTGGTAGCCATGTCAGTCCCTCTAACATTGGAGGCTGAGAGAAAAATGGAAGAGAGAACTATTCCCAAATTCTGCGTGGGATTTTTCATATTAACTGGACCCTAAATCATATTAACTGGACCCTAAATGATTGTACAACTGAAATCATACACACAACCTTCTACAATGCTATTACAAATCTGGGACTGGAACAACTAGTAACCAACAACACTAGACTAAACAACTGCCTCGATCTCATCTTCTGCAACAGTTTGAACCTAATCTAACTCACCCCTTTCCTAAGAGGTCTGTAGGGGGCGTGCATAAGCGCACCAACGTGCCTACCGTCCCTGTCCTATTGTTTCTCTTATTCTTTTATTTTTCTTATATGTACCCATTTCATGTATTCACAACTATGTATACATTTATACTTATTATCTTGTAAACAATTGGCAAATCAAATAAATAAATAAAATAAATAAATAATCTACGGAATACAATCTAAAGAACCCTTTTCCAGTAGTGACCACAATATGATCGACTTTTGTCTCAACATACATCCACACAAAAATCACCACAATGATGTAATCCCCTATTGTAACTTCAAAAAAGGCAACTATGATCTTATAGACAACGATCTCTCATCCCTTGATTGGCAATCTCTATTCACTGGATGCAATACCGTTGAAGACCATTATAACATATTCTTACTTGAAGTCAAAAGAGTCATCAAACTATATGTACCAACAACAACTCCCAAAACAAAACAAAAAAGCAGATTACCCATATCAATAAGGAAACTTCAATCCAAAAAGAGATCACTCTGGCGGAAAAAGAAATCTGGTCACGTTGCCAATTTCAAAAACCGATACAAAAATCTATGCCACCAGATAAAGACCGAATGCACCAATTATCACATTAAACAAGAGGAAAACCTTCTAAGCACCAATTCCACCCGCGCTTTTTACAATTTTGTAAACAACAAACTAAAAGACTCAAGGTCCATCCCTCCCTTGATAGGACCTGATGGTAAAGACTGCAACGACGACACCATTAAAGCCAACATCTTTAACACATTCTTCGGCTCAGTATTTGTAAACAGCAATGGATCATGCCCAATATTTCCTAGCCGTACCACAGATAACAACAATGATCTAATACATATCGATTTCACAGAAGACAATGTTGAAAAAGCAATACGCAACCTAAAACCATCTCTATCTATTGGACCGGATGGAATATGTGCCTACTTCTTAAGAAAGCTATCCACTGCCATAGCCAAACCTCTAAGCATAATCTTTGAAAAATCTTTCAGAACCAGCTCCTTGCCTAACCTATGGTCACAAGCCACAGTCATCCCCATCTTCAAAAAGGGAGACCCAAGCCTAGTTGAAAATTACAGGCCAATCTCCTTATGCTGCGTCACCTGTAAAGTCATGGAATCAATTATTAACCAATCCATCATCCTTCACTTAGAGACAAATAACCTACTCTCCAATAAACAATTTGGTTTCAGAAAAAAACTATCCTGTAATCTGCAACTCTTACACTGCAAAAACATATGGACGACACAACTCGACCAGGGCAAAACAATAGACGCAATCTACATAGACTTCTGTAAAGCCTTTGATTCAGTGGTACACGACAAACTACTCCTAAAAATAAAATCCTATGGTATCTCTGGACAACTGAATAACTGGATAGAAGCATTCCTGTCAAACAGACAACAAATGGTCAAAATCGGGAGCGTCCTATCAAATCCAGTACCTGTCAATAGTGGTGTTCCCCAAGGCAGTGTTCTAGGACCAACTCTCTTCATACTCTACATAAACGACCTCTGTGATCATATTAAGAGCAATTGCGTTCTCTTCGCTGATGATGTAAAGCTGTTCAATACCACAGACAATACTGCTACCCTACAAAAAGATCTTGACTATGTATCCGAATGGTCAAACAAATGGCAACTTCAAATCTCAACAAATAAATGCTCTGTCTTACATATTGGCAAAAAAAATCAGAAAATAAAATACAAGCTGAATAGTCAAGATCTTGTTGATGACCCAAGCTCTGTAAAGGACCTTGGAATACTCACCTCTAATGATCTAAGTGCTAGAGCACACTGCAACTACATAGCCAAAAAGGCATTAAGAGTTGTTAACCTAATCCTACGTAGCTTTTTCTCTGGTAATATCACACTACTAACCAGAGCATACAAAACATTTGCTAGACCAATACTCGAATACAGTTCATCAGTCTGGAACCCACACTACGTATCTGATATTAGCACAATTGAGAAAGTCCAGAAATATTTCACAAGAAGAGTTCTCCACTCCTCTACTCGCTGTAGAATACCTTATGCCACCAGACTTGAAATTCTAGAACTAGAAAACCTTGAATTACGCCGTCTTCGGTCTGACTTAAGCATGGTATACAAAATCATACATTGCAATGTCCTACCTGTCAATGAATACTTCAGCTTCAACCATAACAACACAAGAGCACACAATAGATACAAACTCAAAGTAAACCGCACCAAACTTGATTGCAGGAAATACGACTTCAGCAATAGAGTGGTCAATGTCTGGAATACTCTACCCGACTCTGTAGTTTCTTCCCCAAACCCCAAAAACTTTAACCTTAGACTGTCTACTATTGACCTCACCCCTTTCCTAAGAGGTCTGTAGGGGGCGTGCATAAGTGCACCAACGTGCCTACCGTCCCTGTCCTATTGTTTCTCTTATTCTTTTATTTTTCTTATATGTAACCATTTCATGTATTCACAACTATGTATACATTTATACTTATTATCTTGTAAACAATTGGCAAATCAAATAAATAAATAAATAAATAAATAAATAAAATAAAAGAACGTGGATAACATCAGTGGGAACATTGTGCTTTGGAAAAATTAACTCACCTGCATTGTGCCATGAATGTGTCAAAGCCAACAAAAGGCCAGTAAGAAGACCTGGGATTTTACCAATTGTCCCCATGTCTTGAGATGAGGGAGAAGCTAGATGTCTTCCTGAAAGTAAAAAGAAAAAGATTTGCTTGTGTGACCACCTTGATATTAAATAAAATAAGGTCATTGACTTCACAACTCTGGACCTTCTCACACCCCAGAGCAGGTCACCATTTTCCAAAGAAATGATTCGAAAATTTGTTTTTCCATCTCCTGGATCTGTGTCATGATACATGCCGATGGTTGTAAAAATATGGTTGCAACCAATTGCCAATTGGCTACCAACTCTTGCAAATCTAGAGCTATATTAGAAGGAGAAAAATGGCCAAGGAAGGGATGGTCACATCTCTCCATGGACTTTTGATACCCCATCCAAGGATGTTTTCTCACTTTTGTCAGAGATACCACAAATGTTCAGATATGGTTTATCTTGCAAGTCCTAGCTTGCAAAGCTGCACAAAGAAACAATAAAGTTGGTCTTCCGTTCTACAATCCTTAGGAATTCTTGTAACGGGAGTTGTGAATCATACCACCTTCCAGTTTGGCCCACTTCTACACGGTAGACATAAAGCGTTTTTCTCCATATTTAGGTACACATTTTTGGATCAACCTTTTCCAGAAGTGTTTAGAAAGAATTGAGTAGAAAGAACAAGCAGTAGCATGTTGACTTTAAAATAAAAATAATAGTAATGGGTACTTGAGTGGAGATGGTGTGGTTGGCTAATTGTTCACCTTGGCCTAGAGAGTATGTGGTTCTTTCTAAACCCTCTTTAGAAAATTGGGGTGGAGAAAGCTCTACCTGACTCTACCTGGTTCTGTGGTTTCTTCCCCAAACCCCAAAAACTTTAACCTTAGACTGTCTACTGTTGACCTCACCCCTTTCCTAAGAGGTCTGTAGGGGGCGTGCATAAGCGCACCAACGTGCCTACCGTCCCTGTCCTAATGTTTCTTTTATATTTTTTGTATTTTTCTTATATGTATCCATGTATTCATAACTATGTTTTTACTTATACCTATTATCTTGTAAGCAATTGACAAAAATAAATAAATAAAAAAATAAATTAAAAAAGCGATTGAAGGAGATGGTTTCCTTTGTTCTCTCCGCCAAAAGAGGTCAGGGAGAAAACATGCCATCATTAAGAATCTGGAATGTTTTAAATGCTCACGGAGATCAAGAGACGTATCCAAATTGTAGGTATTTAGTGGGAACGGAGAAGTTGCTGACAACGTGGTTCGCTCAACATGGTTAACCCATCAGGGAAAGAAGAACTGGGGGAAGAATTCGGAGACAACAAATGATAACAGTTGTAACCTGCTTAATTTTGGAGGGGGAAGGATTGGAGTCTATTCTTGTAAGATGGGTGGTCATATAGGCTTAATAAATAAATGCAAATAGTCTATAATTGTGGAAACCATAAACCACAATTCTATAATTGTGGAAACCGTGAAGATATTTGTGAATTGTGATGCAAATGGCAGGTAGTCCCCAGCTTAGGATGATTCATTTAGTAACCATTCAAAGTTACAACAACACTTGGGGAAAAAGGTGATTTACAACCAGTCCTCACACTTATGAATGCGAGCCTCCCTACAGTCACATAATCAAAATTTGGCCGTTTGGCAACCGGCAGGTATTTACAAGGGTTGCAATGTCCGAGGGGAATGGAGGGTTAGGGTCAGGTGATCGCCAGTTGTGACAAGCAAAGTCAATGGGAGGAGTCAAAGGGGAGAGATGGATTTGTTTAACGACTGCATGATTCGTTTAATGACTAAGATACACTTAAATAAGGGATGTGGTGGCTGAGTGGCTAAAACGCTGAGCTTGTCGATCAGAAAGGTCGGCAGTTCAGCGGTTCGAATCCCTAATGCTGTGTAACGGAGTGAGCTCCCCTTACTTGTCCCAGCTTCTGCCAACCTAGCAGTTCGAAAGCAAGTTAAAAAAAGTGCAAGCAGGAAAATAGGGACCCCTTTAGTGGGAAGGGAACAGCGTTCCGTGCGCCTTCGGCATTTAATCCTGCCAGTCATAGGACCACGGAGACGTCTTCGGACAGCGCTGGCTCTTCAGCTTCGTAATAGAGATAAGCAGCACCTCCTAGAGCCGGAAACGACTAGCATGTAGGCACGAGGGGAACCTTTACCTTTATATACACTTAAATGTAGCAAGAAAGTCATAAAACTGAGCACGCTTAATTGCTTAAATCCCACCTTGCTTAGCAACAGAAATTCTGCACCCAATTCTTGTTGTATAATCAAGGACTACCTCTAATTTTGCACTAGGGGGAATGTGTCGAAGGCATTCAGAACCATTGCCCAGTCTTGTAAAACCCATGGCCAGGCATGTGAGTTTTTGCAAGTGGTGGAATTTATGTTTGATTTGTCTTTTCCATAGCCCCAGCCGCTTCTGGTTCCAGCCTTGCCCATTGGAGACTCATTCCCCTTCCACCCTTCGGTGGAAAAGCCAGACCTCCAATAAATCGAATATTTTCTGCGCCCTGTCAGCAAATGAAAATGCTTGGCCCAAAGACCAGCAGCCAAAAAAGCTAATGCAATCCTAAATTGCATTAACAGAGGGATACAATCGAGATCAAGTGAGGTACTGAGACCACTCTATAAAGCCTTAGTAAGACCACACCTAGAGTACTGCATCCAGTTTTGGTCACCACACTATAAAAAAGATGTTGAGGCTCTAGAAAAAGTGCAGAGAAGAGCAACCAGGATGATTAGGGGACTGGAGGCTAAAACAAATGAAGAATAGTTGCAGGAACTGGGCCTGGCTAGTCTAGTGAAGAGAAGGACCGGGGGAGACAGGAGAGCAGCCTTCCAATATTTGAGGGGCTGCCCCAGAGAGGAGGAGGGGGTCAAGCTGTTTTCCAAGGCACCTGAAGGCCAGACAAGGAATAATGGATGGAAACTGAGCAAGGAGAGATTCAACCTGGAAATAAGGAGAAACTTTCTGATAGTGAGAACAATCAACCAATGGAACAGAAGTTGCCCTCAGAAGTTGTTGGAGCGCCATCACTTGAGACTTTCAAGAAGAGATTGGACTGCCATCTGTCGGAAATGGTGTAGGGTCTCCTGCTTGGATGGGATGGGGTTGACTAGATGACCTACAAAGTCCCTTCCAACTCTGATTATCTGTTAAATCTGTTAAAGACACATTTTAAAACCCACAAAGCTTTGCTGTGAGCAAGCCCACACCATCTCACACCCCCCCCCCTTCCTCTGGCCACAGTTTGCCACCTCACATACGAATACACCGCACATGTGGGAAACAGTTGGGTCACATTATTTCACAAGGCGTTGCTCGGACACACTGCCAGGAAGGAGGGAGTCAAGCAAAGGCCCATCCTTACCTCAAAAAGAAATCTTTACCCCACTGAAATCCTGCACCGCAGCTACTGTATCCGGAACCGATCTTCCTTGTATCAACCATGTTCGGGGAAATAGGGTTCCTCGTTGATGGTGATGGAAGTGGATTACGGAACAGAAGCTGCCTGATTACCCGTAAAAAGAAACAGGTAGAGAGCGCAAAGAATAATAATAATGGAGAAATAGGAAGACAAAACGAAGGGGAAAGAGGAAAAACTGGTTTCGGCCAGAGGAGGAAGAAGGGAGCTGTAGAGGATATACAGGGGTTTCCCCCTTTTGCTAAAGATAGGAGCTGGAGTCTAAAGGTATTTGGATGCTGTAATATTTGCAAGCAGAGGAAGAAAGGAAGGGGGAAAAACCACACAGGATCGGCACAACCGATTTGGCAATTGGGGAGTTGGTTCCTTGACAACTGCAGGGACCCAACAACCAAGACATGAATAGAATAGAATAACATAGCTGAAAGGGACTTTGGAGGTCTTGTATAGGAAAGAAATCCTATACCCCTTTCGACCAATGGTTATCCAATCTTTTCTTAAAAACCTCCAGTGTTGGAGCATTCACAACTTCTGGAGGCAAATTGTTCCACTGATCAATTGTTCTAACTGTTTGGAAGTTTCTCCTTGTTTCTAAGTTGCTTCTCTCCTCGGTTAGTTTCCACCCGTCGTTTCTTGTCCTGCCTTCAGGTGCTCTGGAGAATAGCTTGACATCTTCTTCTTTGGGGCGGCCCCTGAGAGCAACGTTACCTTCAATAACAGAATAATAGAGTTGGAAGGCACCTTGGAGGTCTTCTAGTCCAACCTTCTGCTCCAGCAGGAAACCCTATATGATTCCAGACAAATGTTTATGTCTTCTTGAAAACCTCGACTGTTGGAGCACTCACAACTTCTTGGAGGCAAGATGTCCCACTGATTAACTGTTCGAGAAACCGATGCTCTGAGGGGTAGCTGAGTGGTGGAGAGGAGCCCTGAACCCAGAAATGGAAAGGGGAAACTGAGGCAAGGTCTAAACCCCTCTAATGGTGGAGGGAGGGAAATAAGACAAGACAGCCTTTCGAATCAAGTCCAGATATGGGAGTAGGCTCCCGTATAATTCAGAAGGCTCAACAGCTCCCCAACATGATTATTTCCACTTTGCAAGAAAGGAATCCCATTGGTCTGTTATGACTCAGATCCACAACTCGGGCCTTGCTCATGCTCTACATGGGGCTGCCCTTGAAGACTATTGGGAAGCCACACAGGGTATTTCTACTCCAGGTAGAAAGATGTTCCCAGAGGATGTTAAGGGGAAATGAGTCAGCAAACTGTAGATCTTCTCCTTGGAACAGCCTTGGTGTTAACATGGCTTCCTCCAGGAATGTTTCTCAATTGAGAAGTGTTTCCAACTCTGCCCTAGATCAGGATCTACCCTAGACTGGTCTAGGGGGTCTCCAGCCTTGTCAACTTTAAGACTTGTGAACTTCAACTCCCACATGCTGGCTGGGGAATTCTGGGAGTTGAAGTCCACAAGTCTTAAAGTTGACAAGGCTGGAGACCCTTGCCCAAGACATTGTCTTAATCTGCAGCCAATATCTCTCATGTGGATGCTGTCTGGCGAAGGACCATCTTTGGAGGATTGGGATTGCACTGAATTTCAGAAGGCAGCAAGGTTTGTAGAGGGGGGGGGGAACAGTGTTGCA